TCACATGTACCCCAAAACCTAAAATGCAATAAAACAAAAAAAAAGAAAATAGGAAGAAATATAAATAATCTTTGATCTCATCAACTAGAAATAACTGCTGTTCAAATTTTAGTATATTAATATAATTTAGTATATTGCTATAATTTTAGAATATTTCTAACCAAGTATGTTTCTATGCATAGGCTCATAAGAAAGGCATGATTTTATTGCAAAGTATAGTTTGTATTGTGCTTTTTCTAGTGTAATATTGTATGCCAGCATTTTCCAGGCCATGCTGTTGAAAGTTTTTTGAAAACTAACTTCTAATGATAACATATAATGGCCCAAAAGGTGACTATAGTTTATTATACTTAAATGTCTTATAATGGGTTAAATTTTAAGTTTCTTGCATTTTTTTTTTTTTACTATTACAAATAATGTTGTGATAAACAGCTTTGCAAATTTGTATTCAGATCTGATTATTTCCTTGTGATAAGTCTTGTCATGTCAGTGATTGCCTTTTAAGCAGAAGTGTGATGGACTCATTTGTGTGTATAAAAGCCTTTGTACTCGTGTGTATAAGACAGCACTTGAAGAATGGATTGGAAAGAGGTTACTGGAGGCAAAGGGACTAATGCAGATGCTATTTAGGTGTTTGTTTGCATAACAGAGCTTTCAGTGCACATAATGAAAGCTATCAGCATGTTTTACATATTAACTCCGGGTTGCAGGGCCTCCAAAGTGGCTGTAGGGAGAAGATGGTGACAGAAGGTTAATGATTCTTTTCTCTGAGATAGGAAATATCAAGGAGGAAGATGTTTGAAGGGTTGGCCTGGGAAGAAGGAAATTGTCAGCTCAGTATTAGCTGTGTTGCCTTTAAGACACTAAGGTAAAACTGTCAGGAAGATAGTTGACAAGAGCAGGATGTTAGGTTGTGGAAGTCATTCCCTCGGAGGTGCTGATGCTGAGACCCTGGACATGACAGCAGTTCTGGAGATCTGGGTGTTTAAGATAAGAGGATGTGGGACATAATCTGCAAGAAGACTTACTCCTAAGTTACAGACAAGGGGGAACTAGAGATGGAGCTGTGAGGTAAGTATGAAGAAAACCAGAAGAGACTACTGTTGAAGCCAAGAGAGGCAAGTTGCAGCTCACTGCAACCTCTGCCTCCCAGGTTCAAGTGAATCTCCTGCCTCAGCCTCCCAAATAGCTGGGATTACAGGCGCCCGCTATCATGCCCAGCTAATTTTTGAATTTTTAGTAGAGATGGGGTTTCATCACATTGGCCAGGCTGGTCTCGAACTCCTGACCTCATGATCTGCCCGCCTCAGCCTCCCAAAGTGCTGGGATTACAGGTGTGAACCACCGCACCCAGCTAGCCATCAGACTTTCAAATGATGCAGAAGTCAAACAAGAAAAGGGCGGAGGGTATCCGTGGGAGCAATTTCAGTCACCTGTAGGTGGCGACAAGCAGATTCAGATTATGGGGAGGCAAGCCAGATCTTAGCGAAGCGGTGAGGGGTAAACTGAGCCTAGGGAGCAGCAGGCATTTCTCTAAGATAGCTTGTTTGAGGGGACGGAGAGGGTAATGGAGGCAGCAGAGGGTTCACTTTTTCTTCTTGTTTATATTGAATTAGGAAAGGTAGATTTGCTCATTGTCATATGACTTCAATTACCTCTCCAACATTTACTTTTTGCCATGTTTAAAATCCTTTTATTGGTGATTTTTTTTTTTTTTTTTGGACAAAGTATACTCTGTCCAAGCTTCCAGTGAAAGTACTGCTGTTCAATCTCCCAGCATCTTATCTCAAGTTCTGTTGGAACCAGGAGAGACCTCATATTTGTATATGTGGTCTCATTGAGTTTTAATAAGACTCAGTTTTTAAGCTTCAGCAACTAATATTTGGAATTTCACTTTTTAAATTATAGAATATGATTTGTGTCCTTGAAGTTTGATCATTACCTGAAGAATTGGCTGAAAACAGTACATGTTTAAATGTTGCAGTTTAGAGAATGTCTTTATTGTGTTGCCAAATGCTGAATGACAGAGAGCTTTAATTCTAATTAGCTTTAATTAGAAAGAGGAAAAAAAAATCAAAGAGTAATGTCAACCAGAATCAAAATGAACCAGAACAAGAAATACTTTTATTGGTTACAGAACATCAGCAATGTGTGGTATAGTCTTATTCACTTCCTTTATCAACAATGAAAATACTGCAGGCCTCTCGAGGGAAGCTCAGACCATCAGTCTAACTGAATGCATAATAATTTTAATAGGTGTTTTTTGTTAGTAACATGATGCTCTTTTGGGCTGCAGAAAATTATTATTTTTTAATTATACTTTAAGTTCTGAGGTACATGTGCAGATCATGCAGGTTTGTTACACAGGTATACACGTGCCATGGTGGTGGTTTGCTGCATCCAGAGCCCTGTCTATATTAGGTGTTTCTCCTAATGCTATCCCTCCCCAATCCTCCTACCCCTTGTTATTCCTCCCCTAGCCCCCCACCCCCCAGGCCCTGGTGTGTGATGTTCCACTCCCTGTGTCCACGTGTTCTCATTGTTCAACACCCACTTATGAGTGAGAACATGCAGTGTTTGGTTTTCTGTTCTTGTGTCAGTTTGCCGAGAATGATGGTTTCCAACTTCGTCCATGTCCCTGCAAAGAACATGAACTCATCATTTTTTATGGCTGCATAGTATTCTATGGTGTATATGCACCACATTTTCTTTATCCAGTCTATCATTGATGGGCATTTGGGTTGGTTCCAAGTCTTTGCTATTGTGAACAGTGCCACAATAAACATAATGTGTGCATGTGTCTTTATAATAGAATGATTTATAATCCTTTAGGAAATTATTTTTAAAGGTATGGTAAATGATTCTTGGCTTTAAAAAACAAAACAATATGGTAAATGTTCCTTATGGAGGAAGAATTGGATAGTTAATGCAGTGTATTCACTGATTTTTTTTTCTTAGCAGTAAATTAGCCTATTTTTGAATATTATTTCTCTCAGCATAATTACTTTGAGTATGTTGACACAAAAACAGTTATCACATTTTAGAGGTTATTATGTTATAATAGATAGCAGTTATCCATGTAGAGGATTAGAAGAGAATATATCTGTGATTTTGCTCTGTAAAGAACCTGGTTACCTTTCTTTTAATATAAGATTTCACTTTTCTTTCTTTCTTTCTTTCTTTCTTTC